TATGTTAGGACTTACCAAGCCGCTCATCCGGCATGTGGCATCCGTATGATAACTAAACGTCATTATCTCTCTAATATGACACGACACGCAATCATTTCGATTGGTTAGGAAAAGTCTCTCCTGTTTCTTTTACATCCATCGCTGATTATTAGTTACCTGGTGCACTGCTTCGCATACGTAAGTAAGAAAGCTGTTCCCTTGTCGTTTGATTCTGTCGTGTAGGTCGTTGCTATAGAACCCTATAGTTTCCGCAACTTAGAAGACCGTATACTTCTCTAATCCATTATAAATATGATGTTTTGCTTTTTTCTACCAGTACAGCCCATCAGTATTTAGGGTTGCGCGTGTAGCCCAAGAACGTGACGACTTGGCTTCCGAAATCAGCCAAGAACGTGAAGTCGTAGTAAGCGCTAACAAGCTTGCCGATGATCTCAAGAAAAAGTTGGAGATGTGAGTGAAATTGAATATAAGATTGCGGAAGATTTTCATCGGGAGTTTGAGAACTCTAAGCATGTTCTTTCCGACGGTTTCGGGAACGTTTATGATTTGTAGCTATTTACCTGGTTGACATGCTTAAAATACACGTCGATCCATTTTTTATATAACTCGGATGTTTCTCATTTTATGGAAAAAGCGATCTTTTCATTCTCCTTGTTTAAGAGCGTCGACAGCACTTCTCGAACGTCAGAATGAAGTGACCTCCCTGAGTCAGGAGAAAGCGAATCTTCAAGGCTTGCTAGAAAGTAAGCGTTTCTCCTTAGATAATGCGCTTATTAAACAGCAACCAACTTAGTCCTGAATTGTGCATATATAATGTTAATATTCATCGCTGTAGTACTGTATTGTTTAGAAACGAAAGGGGATCTGGCTGCGTTCCAGGAAGCATATAGGGCAGAGGTTAGAAGACTAAACGCTGATATATCTCTTCGGAACGACACCATTGACAAATTATCACGCGAGGTTGGTTCTAATGGTATTTGTTGTCTCATTAAAGAACAGTCCCGTAAAGCTGTAGAGCTAGGTGATCGCTCTATCAGTCACATTCCTAGTTTGTGGTTCCATACGGCCACAAAATTGAAATGAGCTCTTTATTAGGCCGAACTCAAAAGTTAATGAGTTCCGGTTTAGTACGATAGCTGAGGCGCAATTGTTTCTGAATTTCGGCAAAGATATATGTGGCCGTAAACTAATTTTGTGGTCTTTCAGGCTGAAGCCATGCAGGCAAAGATGGCTGTACAGGAACAGGAATGTGACCGCCATGTGAAAGAGGTGCTGGTTTTACATATTACATTTTTTTCAAGGGAAAAGCGGGCTGAAACTTTTGGAGAGAGAAAAAAAACTGTGCTGCGTAGCCGTATTGGTAAACTTGGTGCTTAATTGTTCCTCCCAGTTCTTTCAAAACTTCTAATTGCTTATAAGTGTTCGCAACTCTGTGTGGCACTCATACAGTGGTGATTCGTCCGAGTATCAGCTTACCTTCCTATGCAATTTGCGTCGCTTTTTTTGAACTTAGTCTGCTCAGGTTTATTCAAAGACCTGAAATTAACGGAATTTTGCGGATTCGGCGCTAAATACTGGGAAGCTGAGGATTATTATACCAACGTCTATCACAGAGTCTAGCACGATCAATGGTTAATGATTCTTTCCCATTAGAATACGGAACATCTGATAATGAGTTGTTATGGATTGTAGAACATTCTGAAGCATCACAGTCTATACTGTGATGTGGGAGAAAGCCGGTTTTCAACACAAAACCTGTACCAGTTACATTCGTCAGGAAATCAAGTAATTAGTTGATATAGATGTTGCTGGACACACGGTCAGAACCAGAATTCGGCGTGGCCCGTTCATTTTGGCTTTATTCGCTTCTATCAGCAACTTTGAACATTAAGTGGTGAACCTACCAACAAACGCTCGTTTTTCGGTTCAGACTTTCGAAACTCATCATTGTTGACATCAAAACCTCCGGGTTTGCTTTCCTGATCGTATAGGTTCAGCTGTATGCATATCAGGATTTCGTAGTGGTGTAATACACTCTTAAGCGCTTACTCATATATTTCTAAAGATACTTTTATCTGCAAACGTAATGAAAAACTTCGGTCTCAACTGTTTTTGCATTTTTAAAAAAGTAGCTCAGCACCTAAAAAAATGTAAGTATTTTAGCTCGAAGCATTGCGATCTCATGGTCAAAAAACGCAAGCAGATCTGGAAAGAATGAAGCGTTTACGTGATGAGATGAAAAAGCTGGCAGAAGGATTCGAATAGTTTTATTTTTTCCCTTGAGTAACTTCCATTTTCAGTTTTCAACTGAAATTGGCTTTTTTCAATATTGGAACAGTTTTTAAGGAAGTCTCAGCACCCTTCAGTTCTCGGGCTGCTTACCGTGAATACGAATATCTTTTTAATTTCCTAGACTCTGATTTGTAAAATGGTATTGTTGTGATAAGAAAATGAGTTCTATTCAGTATTTATGAGTGTTCATACTAGTTCTCTTAACTTGAAATTAATCGAATGCATGGCGCATCCTGTCAACATGGTGAGATACTTGTTCTTTTGAGTAAGTCACCGTGTTTTCATCGCTCGTGCTCCCCTTTGACACACTGGCTGCTGATTTCTTGAAAATGCCAATGTCTTCTTTTAAAGTGATCTACATTGA